TCCCACCTCGTTGTGTTCCCTCACCCAGATGTCATCCCTCTGGGTCCCCAAGACACCCCAGCGTGTCCCCAGGTCCCCTACGTCCCACCTCGTTGTGTTCCCTCACCCAGATGTCATCCCTCTGGGTCCCCAAGACACCCCAGCGTGTCCCCAGGTCCCCTACGTCCCACCTCGTTGTGTTCCCTCACCCAGATGTCATCCCTCTGGGTCCCCAAGACACCCCAGCGTGTCCCCAGGTCCCCTACGTCCCACCTCGTTGTGTTCCCTCACCCAGATGTCATCCCTCTGGGTCCCCAAGACACCCCAGCGTGTCCCCAGGTCCCCTACGTCCCACCTCGTTGTGTTCCCTCACCCAGATGTCATCCCTCTGGGTCCCCAAGACACCCCAGCGTGTCCCCAGGTCCCCTACGTCCCACCTCGTTGTGTTCCCTCACCCAGATGTCATCCCTCTGGGTCCCCAAGACACCCCAGCGTGTCCCCAGGTCCCCTACGTCCCACCTCGTTGTGTTCCCTCACCCAGATGTCATCCCTCTGGGTCCCCAAGACACCCCAGCGTGTCCCCAGGTCCCCTACGTCCCACCTCGTTGTGTTCCCTCACCCAGATGTCATCCCTCTGGGTCCCCAAGACACCCCAGCGTGTCCCCAGGTCCCCTACGTCCCACCTCGTTGTGTTCCCTCACCCAGATGTCATCCCTCTGGGTCCCCAAGACACCCCAGCGTGTCCCCAGGTCCCCTACGTCCCACCTCGTTGTGTTCCCTCACCCAGATGTCATCCCTCTGGGTCCCCAAGACACCCCAGCGTGTCCCCAGGTCCCCTACGTCCCACCTCGTTGTGTTCCCTCACCCAGATGTCATCCCTCTGGGTCCCCAAGACACCCCAGCGTGTCCCCAGGTCCCCTACGTCCCACCTCGTTGTGTTCCCTCACCCAGATGTCATCCCTCTGGGTCCCCAAGACACCCCAGCGTGTCCCCAGGTCCCCTACGTCCCACCTCGTTGTGTTCCCTCACCCAGATGTCATCCCTCTGGGTCCCCAAGACACCCCAGCGTGTCCCCAGGTCCCCTACGTCCCACCTCGTTGTGTTCCCTCACCCAGATGTCATCCCTCTGGGTCCCCAAGACACCCCAGCGTGTCCCCAGGTCCCCTACGTCCCACCTCGTTGTGTTCCCTCACCCAGATGTCATCCCTCTGGGTCCCCAAGACACCCCAGCGTGTCCCCAGGTCCCCTACGTCCCACCTCGTTGTGTTCCCTCACCCAGATGTCATCCCTCTGGGTCCCCAAGACACCCCAGCGTGTCCCCAGGTCCCCTACGTCCCACCTCGTTGTGTTCCCTCACCCAGATGTCATCCCTCTGGGTCCCCAAGACACCCCAGCGTGTCCCCAGGTCCCCTACGTCCCACCTCGTTGTGTTCCCTCACCCAGATGTCATCCCTCTGGGTCCCCAAGACACCCCAGCGTGTCCCCAGGTCCCCTACGTCCCACCTCGTTGTGTTCCCTCACCCAGATGTCATCCCTCTGGGTCCCCAAGACACCCCAGCGTGTCCCCAGGTCCCCTACGTCCCACCTCGTTGTGTTCCCTCACCCAGATGTCATCCCTCTGGGTCCCCAAGACACCCCAGCGTGTCCCCAGGTCCCCTACGTCCCACCTCGTTGTGTTCCCTCACCCAGATGTCATCCCTCTGGGTCCCCAAGACACCCCAGCGTGTCCCCAGGTCCCCTACGTCCCACCTCGTTGTGTTCCCTCACCCAGATGTCATCCCTCTGGGTCCCCAAGACACCCCAGCGTGTCCCCAGGTCCCCTACGTCCCACCTCGTTGTGTTCCCTCACCCAGATGTCATCCCTCTGGGTCCCCAAGACACCCCAGCGTGTCCCCAGGTCCCCTACGTCCCACCTCGTTGTGTTCCCTCACCCAGATGTCATCCCTCTGGGTCCCCAAGACACCCCAGCGTGTCCCCAGGTCCCCTACGTCCCACCTCGTTGTGTTCCCTCACCCAGATGTCATCCCTCTGGGTCCCCAAGACACCCCAGCGTGTCCCCAGGTCCCCTACGTCCCACCTCGTTGTGTTCCCTCACCCAGATGTCATCCCTCTGGGTCCCCAAGACACCCCAGCGTGTCCCCAGGTCCCCTACGTCCCACCTCGTTGTGTTCCCTCACCCAGATGTCATCCCTCTGGGTCCCCAAGACACCCCAGCGTGTCCCCAGGTCCCCTACGTCCCACCTCGTTGTGTTCCCTCACCCAGATGTCATCCCTCTGGGTCCCCAAGACACCCCAGCGTGTCCCCAGGTCCCCTACGTCCCACCTCGTTGTGTTCCCTCACCCAGATGTCATCCCTCTGGGTCCCCAAGACACCCCAGCGTGTCCCCAGGTCCCCTACGTCCCACCTCGTTGTGTTCCCTCACCCAGATGTCATCCCTCTGGGTCCCCAAGACACCCCAGCGTGTCCCCAGGTCCCCTACGTCCCACCTCGTTGTGTTCCCTCACCCAGATGTCATCCCTCTGGGTCCCCAAGACACCCCAGCGTGTCCCCAGGTCCCCTACGTCCCACCTCGTTGTGTTCCCTCACCCAGATGTCATCCCTCTGGGTCCCCAAGACACCCCAGCGTGTCCCCAGGTCCCCTACGTCCCACCTCGTTGTGTTCCCTCACCCAGATGTCATCCCTCTGGGTCCCCAAGACACCCCAGCGTGTCCCCAGGTCCCCTACGTCCCACCTCGTTGTGTTCCCTCACCCAGATGTCATCCCTCTGGGTCCCCAAGACACCCCAGCGTGTCCCCAGGTCCCCTACGTCCCACCTCGTTGTGTTCCCTCACCCAGATGTCATCCCTCTGGGTCCCCAAGACACCCCAGCGTGTCCCCAGGTCCCCTACGTCCCACCTCGTTGTGTTCCCTCACCCAGATGTCATCCCTCTGGGTCCCCAAGACACCCCAGCGTGTCCCCAGGTCCCCTACGTCCCACCTCGTTGTGTTCCCTCACCCAGATGTCATCCCTCTGGGTCCCCAAGACACCCCAGCGTGTCCCCAGGTCCCCTACGTCCCACCTCGTTGTGTTCCCTCACCCAGATGTCATCCCTCTGGGTCCCCAAGACACCCCAGCGTGTCCCCAGGTCCCCTACGTCCCACCTCGTTGTGTTCCCTCACCCAGATGTCATCCCTCTGGGTCCCCAAGACACCCCAGCGTGTCCCCAGGTCCCCTACGTCCCACCTCGTTGTGTTCCCTCACCCAGATGTCATCCCTCTGGGTCCCCAAGACACCCCAGCGTGTCCCCAGGTCCCCTACGTCCCACCTCGTTGTGTTCCCTCACCCAGATGTCATCCCTCTGGGTCCCCAAGACACCCCAGCGTGTCCCCAGGTCCCCTACGTCCCACCTCGTTGTGTTCCCTCACCCAGATGTCATCCCTCTGGGTCCCCAAGACACCCCAGCGTGTCCCCAGGTCCCCTACGTCCCACCTCGTTGTGTTCCCTCACCCAGATGTCATCCCTCTGGGTCCCCAAGACACCCCAGCGTGTCCCCAGGTCCCCTACGTCCCACCTCGTTGTGTTCCCTCACCCAGATGTCATCCCTCTGGGTCCCCAAGACACCCCAGCGTGTCCCCAGGTCCCCTACGTCCCACCTCGTTGTGTTCCCTCACCCAGATGTCATCCCTCTGGGTCCCCAAGACACCCCAGCGTGTCCCCAGGTCCCCTACGTCCCACCTCGTTGTGTTCCCTCACCCAGATGTCATCCCTCTGGGTCCCCAAGACACCCCAGCGTGTCCCCAGGTCCCCTACGTCCCACCTCGTTGTGTTCCCTCACCCAGATGTCATCCCTCTGGGTCCCCAAGACACCCCAGCGTGTCCCCAGGTCCCCTACGTCCCACCTCGTTGTGTTCCCTCACCCAGATGTCATCCCTCTGGGTCCCCAAGACACCCCAGCGTGTCCCCAGGTCCCCTACGTCCCACCTCGTTGTGTTCCCTCACCCAGATGTCATCCCTCTGGGTCCCCAAGACACCCCAGCGTGTCCCCAGGTCCCCTACGTCCCACCTCGTTGTGTTCCCTCACCCAGATGTCATCCCTCTGGGTCCCCAAGACACCCCAGCGTGTCCCCAGGTCCCCTACGTCCCACCTCGTTGTGTTCCCTCACCCAGATGTCATCCCTCTGGGTCCCCAAGACACCCCAGCGTGTCCCCAGGTCCCCTACGTCCCACCTCGTTGTGTTCCCTCACCCAGATGTCATCCCTCTGGGTCCCCAAGACACCCCAGCGTGTCCCCAGGTCCCCTACGTCCCACCTCGTTGTGTTCCCTCACCCAGATGTCATCCCTCTGGGTCCCCAAGACACCCCAGCGTGTCCCCAGGTCCCCTACGTCCCACCTCGTTGTGTTCCCTCACCCAGATGTCATCCCTCTGGGTCCCCAAGACACCCCAGCGTGTCCCCAGGTCCCCTACGTCCCACCTCGTTGTGTTCCCTCACCCAGATGTCATCCCTCTGGGTCCCCAAGACACCCCAGCGTGTCCCCAGGTCCCCTACGTCCCACCTCGTTGTGTTCCCTCACCCAGATGTCATCCCTCTGGGTCCCCAAGACACCCCAGCGTGTCCCCAGGTCCCCTACGTCCCACCTCGTTGTGTTCCCTCACCCAGATGTCATCCCTCCGCGTCCCCAAGACACCTCAGGGTGTCCCCAGGTCCCCTACGTCCCACCTCGTTGTGTTCCCTCACCCAGATGTCATCCCTCTGGGTCCCCAAGACACCCCAGCGTGTCCCCAGGGCCCCTACGTCCCACCTCGTTGTGTTCCCTCACCCAGATGTCATCCCTCTGCGTCCCCAAGACACCCCAGCGTGTCCCCAGGTCCCCTACGTCCCACCTCGTTCTGTCCCCTCACCCAGATGTCATCCCTTTGGGTCCCCAAGACACCCCAGGCTGTCCCCGTTGCATCTCCTCACCCCGTTCACATCCCCGAGGTCCACCGTGGTGACCAACTCCAACCCGCGTCCCCCTCCTGGAGGTCCCCAGCACCCCGTCACCCTGCTCCAGCACCCTGGCCCCCTCTCTCAGTGCCCCCCAGTAGCTCCCAGCGGCACCTGTAGACGCCCACCACCACGGCGTGGTCGCGCTCGTAGGGCTCCAGCGTGAGCTGCTCCTGGGGCTTCATGTTCTCCTGCTGCATCTTCTTCACCTCGGAGGCGAAGACGGCCTCGGGCGCCGCCGTCGAGTCGATGCAGTTGGCCTTGGGGGGGGCGGAAGAAGGGGTGAACGGGGTCAAACGCCCCAAAAATGGGGAGGCCCGGGGCAGGAATGGGCATAGGAGGGGGACAAAACCACAAAA